AAAGAATAAGAAAAAAATAGTTGCATCAGACTATTTTTATGAGAAGTTGTAAGCATTTTTTAGATAAAAAGCAGTGTAAAGTACTTAAGGTTATTTTATTCTGAAGTTGTGTAAAATTCACCATGATTTCGACCACTGCAGATTCTTTAAGTGGGTTAATAATTTATGTTTTGAGGTAAAATAAAATTTACACTTTTTCTTAAAAGACATAAATGTGGGTTTCTATATTAAACATATTTTGTGACTACTGCTATTAACAGATTGATTTGTTTAGATATTAAATGCTTTAAGCTATTTTACCTTTTCAAGAAGTTGTGTTTTTTTTCCACTTATGTCAGAACCAATTCTTGCAAATAAACTTCCCACTACTAGTCACTATAAATAACCAAGTAATCTTTCATAGTTGATATAAACTTTATAAGTAGAGAAGGTACAGTTTGCAAATCTAGAACTGGGTGGGGTTTTTTTGTTTATAAATCTTTAAAGAATACTGGGAAGAGTAGAGAGCCATGCTTAACTCTTTAATGAGCCTGTTCAATTGAATTCCATTTGTTAGTGATGAAATGGAATCCTGGTTTTTGTGTTTTGGGTGATTTTAATTGTATTTCTCTATTGTGGCATATTTCATTGTTCTTCAAACTGGCCCAAGATGTTTCATTATCTTTTTGGCTTTTCTTCTGGCTTTCAAGATATTGCTCGTTGAGCAGTAATGGTGATAATGAACAGGAAAAAAGTCAAGAAATGACCTTTCTCCTGCCAGTTATATTAGAATAGGAAAACTGAACATAACCAGCACAACTGAAGTATATAGAAGTTATTTTTATTTTATATTCTAGAACTAATAGGCAAGGGTACTTTATATACTTGAAATAATTAGAGTTGTTTTTATTTTACCAGATAACCTTTATTGTTTTTTAATGTTTATTGATTTTTTTTTTTTTTTTTAGAGAGAGAAACATTGATTGGCTGCCTCCTGCACACCCCCTACTGGGGATTGAGCTCCAAACCCTGGCATGTTCCCTGACCCGAAATTGAACCAGGACCACTTAGTCCATGGGACAATGCTCAATCCACTAAACCACACTGGCTGGGCTCACCAGATAACCTTTAAAATACTGACTTGAGAATGTTAAATTGGATAACAAAGTTATGTCCATATTCTATAAATGGGTTGTAAGAAGCAATAACATGAATATGTGAAAGCACTTTTAATTACCTTTCTTTCCTTAGGCTTGGAATGTCTATTTTGTGGGACAATGATTGTCAGAAAAACAAGTTAGACATTACAAAGAATAGATATGTAATGTATCTAATTAGGTAGTTTGGTAATTTGCTAAATTGGCTTGTTTCAAGTTAATATAAAAGTTATTGAAAATATTTTAAACACTGTTTAATTTGTAAACATTCATTTACTATAAACTTATTAAAAACTTACAAAATTCTCTTAATCAGATTTTTAAGGATTCATGATTTAAGAAAAGTGCACATTTTATAATTCTTTAAGATAATATATAGTACAGAAGAAAGCAAGCTTTGAAATCTGTTACTGAGAATCTAGGCTCCCTCTGGGAATTTAACCTTTATTTATTTATTTATTTTATTCTTACCCGAGGACATTTTTTCATTTTTTGTTCACATAGAGCGGGAGGGGGAGAGAGAAACATTGACATGAAAGGTACACATCGAGTGGCTGCCACCCGCACAACCCAACCAGGGCCGGGGACAAACCAACTGAGGTACATGCCCTTAGCGGGAACCGAGCCCGGGTCTCTGAACCACAGGCTGACGCTCTAACCGTTGAGCCAAACAGGCCAGGATGGAATTTAACCTTTAAAGTTCATCTGTCAAGTAGGACTAATAGCTGCCACAGAAATGAGCATTGAAGGTAATACACTTCAAGTGCCCGTACAGTGCAGTATACCTTAATTTATTAAGTGCTTATACATGTGTTTCTGATTTCCTCACAGCCTTATGAGTAGCTATTCTATTTGGCCCATTTATCAGATGAAACAAAAATAATTTGGTAAAAGATGAATTTCAAATCCCTCGATTCCAGAGCCCAAGGTTTTACTACATTGTATTGCTTACCTTTCTTCTCCAAATGCTAAAATTTCTGAAAATCCCCCTCAGACTGTTTTCAACTACTTTATTGTTGGTGACCACAATATCTTCAAAGCCTTGTCCACTTGAAATGAGTCATGTCAATAGCTCTTCTGTTTATTAGTGCTTCTCCTTAGTACTTGCAGGTTTTGAATATTCTTGGTTAGGGAATTATCTCACGCTTGTAGTTGAAGTTTGGTTTTAAAAAAAAAAATTCTATAATAGTTTGCAATCAAGTTTAGTGAATAAAATAGATTACTAAGATGAGAAACTGAAATTTTTTTTTTTAATCCTCACCTGAGGACATTTTTCCATTTTTGTTCAGCTAGAGTGGGAGGGAGAGAGAGAGAGAGAGAAACATCGACGTGAAAGGGACACATCGAGTGGCTGCTACCCGCACAACCCAACCAGGGCCGGAGACAAACTGCAATCAAGGTACGCGCCCCTAGCAGGAACCGAACCCAGGTCTCTGGGCTGCAGGCTGACGCTCTAACCACTGAGCAAAACTGACCAGGGTGAGAAACTGAATTTTTGAAGCAGGTGAGACGATGTCCTGAGACTGGTTTTTCTTGGCTGCTAAAATCAGGATTTTTAAATTTTTAATGATAAAGTTTGAAAGTTGACTTTGAAGAATGGTGGTGTCATTTAATTCAAATTCTTGGGCCTGCTGGTGCTGCTATTGGCTGGAATAATTATCATAAGGATATAGAATTCCTATTTTCCATTCTTTTTTTTTTTTTATCCTCACCCGAGGACATTTTTCCATTTTTTGTTCAGATAGAGCGGGAGGGAGAGAGAAAGAGAGAAACATCGGCGTGAAGGGACACATCGAGTGGCTGCCACCCGCATGACCAACCAGGGCCGGGGACAAACTGCAACCAAGGTACATGCCCTTAGCGGGAAATGAACCCGGGTCTCTCTGTACCACAGGCCGACGCTCCAACCGCTGAGCCAAACCAGCCAGGGCTCCATTCTTAATTCTTGCAGCACCTCTTTGGACTATGCGCAGGAGTGGGATTAGCAACGAAGAGGCCCAGTGTAGATAGTAGCTTCCTTCTGCAACAGGTATTAGAGTGGACGTAGGAGGAAAGCCACCTGTTTACTACAGAATGAAATGAATCTATTTTTAAGTAATATGCCATATTAGAATTAGCCCAGCTGGTGTGGCTCAGTGGATTGTGTGTCGTCCTGTGGACTGAGAGGTCCCCGTTCAATTCCCAGTCAGGGCACATGCCCAGGTTTCAGGCTCTATCCCCAATTGGGGCATGCAGGAGGCAGCTGAGCAATGTTTCTCACATGGATGTTTCTCTCCCCCTCTATCTCTAAAATAATTGTGATTTTTAAAAATTTTTTTCTTTTATCCTCACCCGAGGACATTTTCCAATTTTTTGTTTAAATAGAGTGGCAGGGAGAGATGGAGAGAGAGAGAGAAACATCAACATGAAAGGGACACATCGAGTAGCTGCCTCCTGCACGACCCAATCAGGGCCGAGGACAAACTGCAACCAAGGTACATGCCCTTAGCAGGAACTGAACCCAGGTCTCTCTGGACCGCAGGCTGATGCTCTAACCGCTGAGCTAAACCGGCCAGGGCAATTAATTTAATTTTTAAAACAACATTAAAGAAATAATTTGTAATTAGTAGGGACTTAGGTCAGGCTTAAGGGACTATGACAAATTAACATTAAATAACACTAAAAGCTACCCTTTATTTTTAATTGTGAAATATAACTGCAGAAGTCCATAAGGTCCATTTATATATAAAGTCCAATAATTATTCATTGACCACATATCATTTACCTAGGTCAAAAAATAGAACTGTCAGCACTGCAAGAAGTCACCATGTGAAGAGCTATCATTTATTGGATACCCACTACATGTTGATGTTCTACATGTCTTATGTAAACCTTTCCAAACCCTGTGAGGTGGTTGGGGTTGTCGATCCTATGTTATAAATTAGGACACCGATGACCATTATGATTGTTTCCATCAAATCACAGAACTGAAATGTTGAAGACTGAACAATGGCTTGGTTCTAATTTGAGGCACTGTGTGTGAACACCAATGAGACAAGTTGTCCCATGATATTTGTTTCCTGTGTTCCAGAAAATAAGTGTCATCACACTTTGAGGAAAATTTGAGAAATTTTAAACTAGGAAGCTTCTAAAGAAGTAAACTTTAAAGGAAACTACTCAAATATGTATCTGAAATAACCATTGTAAAATATTTCCTGGATATTCTATTTGTAGAATGCAAAGGGACATTTTACAGAGGCGGTGATATAATCAATAGTTGAAGTAAGAATCCTCTCATTCCTCTTCATTTGCTTATTATTAAATATTTTTCTACACTAGCTAAGGAAAAAAGGATTCTTGTGAATTCAAAATTCATTGGGTTGAGCATCATCCTGTGCACCAAAAGGTTGCTGGTTCGATTCCCTGTCAGGGCACATACCTAGGTTGTGGGTTCGATCCCCAGTTGGCGCATGAACAGAGGGCAGCTTACCAATGTTTCTCTCCCATTGATGTTTCTCTCTCTCTAAGCATGTCTTCCGGTAAGGATTAAAAAATTAAAATGAAAAAAATATTAATAGAGGTCCATAGAGGCATTTCTAGGTTATCTTAGCTCTGTGCACTGCGGAGGTGGACCATACTCAATGAGGGAATTAGCACACATGCTCAGTAACCTGAAGTTTGAAAACCAATATGGGGTAAAGCATGTGCACCTTTCTGTCCTCATGTTTCAAAATTTTGAATGTAATTAACAAGAGAAATATAAGTAAAATAAGAATACTATTTTGAAAATATTCCTTTCCCCTGTAATGCACATTTGTTAGTAGTCATTCTGCTATTATGTCTCCTATAGGAAAGGAGAGAAGGGTAACGTAACATTACCGAAGTCCCTATCAGGGAGATTGAGGAGGTGAAAATCCACTCATCCAGCACTGGTCCTTGAGAAGTGTAAAGAAGGGAAGCAGGCATTTGAGACATGGGTCCTGACCTCTACTCCATAGCATGAACTTCACCTGTGTCAGAATTGCAGCAGTGGGAAAAATGACAATTTTCATTTAATGAGCCTTCCTGGTTTACCCCGACTATAAACAAATAATGCGTCACTCTGTAGGAGGGTCCAAGAGGTAGAAAGGAATAGGCTTGAGTAGGAAATACCAAAGGCATCAGAACCCTAAATACAGAGTCACAGTGCACAACACCAGGGGGCACCATTCACATGGAATTTAATGGATGTCGATAACAATGAATGATGTCCCTTGGAGTGGGAATCCCTGAGATTGTTGTATGAGTAAACTTACTAGAAAAATCTTACTTTAAAAAAATAATTTGAAAAAGTATTGGTGGTTCTCTGAAGCATGGAAGCATATATATTCTAACAAACTTGTGGGTAGCATATGCTAAAGTTATTTATTGATGCTGGGAGCACTCTTTTTACTTGGTAAGAAATTACTTTTTCCAACATTCTCTAGAGGGAATTATTTCAAGACAGCCTAAAATCAAATCAGAAGTAAGGCTGCTTGGGTTAAGTTAAGGAATTTTTTTTCTCTACTCAAAAACCTTGGGGGAATTTCAGGAACCAGGCAGATGAAGAATTATGTCAGCTCAGGTATGGAATAAAACTGAGTCTGCTTTGTGGTCTCCTACAGATATTGTTCCTTAATTAACATCAAGTTTGCTTCCCAACATTTGCTGCAAATCCACCCTCTCCTGCTAAGTTTCCCTTTCATTTTTTTCTTTGCTCCACTTATTTTTTTCTTGGTTGTTATCTTTTGTTGATATGAGCTAACATAAGTGCCTAAAGATTTTAAGATTCTTACTGTCTGAAACCATGGAAGATAATACTTCAGAAGTCAGACATCCTATAAATTTCACTGATGTTGGTTCTGGGAGAACGGTGACAAAGCAAAAACTGCGAACCCCTTTTGATCTCTTGTAGGTATAAAGCAAGAGGGGAAGAGTGGTACATAGGAAATCTATAAGGTCAGCTCAACCTTGTTCCCATGAAACAGATTTGTGAATTTTTTATAGACTTCGGTGGTTTTTTAGAATTTAAAATTCTATCCCTTTTATTGTAAGGTAATTCACGCCACCATATATCAAAGCCAGGCTTCCCTACTGAGCCATGACCTACAGTAGACAAACTAAAATAACATTAACAGCATATTGATTTTCTATTGCTGCTGTAACAAATTACCACAAATTTGGGGCTTAAACAATACCAACCTGTGGGTTTGATCCAAGTAGGTCTCCCCAGGCTCAAATCAAGGTATTGGCAGCTCTGCGTTCCCTTCTGGAGGATCTGAGGAAAATCTTCCTTGCCTTTTCCTGCCTCCAGAGCTGCTTGCATTCCTTGGCTCGTTCATGACGCTCTTCCTCTGTCTGCAAAGCCAGCAATGGTGGGTTGAAGCCTCAAATTGCATTTCACTGATCCTACTGCTGCCATCACATCTCTCTCTCTGATCCTGCCCATCTCTTCCACTTTTTCTGCCTCCCTTTTTCACGTACAGGGACCCCTATGATTGATTACACTGGGTTCACACAGATAATCTCCCTATTTTAAGACAATCTGATTAGTTGTTCCTCGGACCAGCTTCATCGTCTGCAATATTAATTCTCCTTTGCCATGTAACATAACATATTCACAGGTTCTAGGGATTAGGACATGGATACCTTTGGGGGTCCATTATTCTGTCTACCACACAGAGGTCTGAATTCAGCACCACCACCACTATTTATCTTTAAAAGGTTGGCTTTCTAACTTACAAATGACAAGTGTTGACTGCCTTGCTTCAGAGCAGGATACAGTATAAAAGTGGTACAGCACCATGGCCAGTTTGGCTCAACGGTCAGAGCGTGGGCCAGTGGCCCAGAGAGACCCAGGTATGGTTCCCGCTAAGGGCACATACCTCAGTTGCAGTTTGTCCTCTGCGCTGGTTGGGTCATGCAGGTAGCAACCACTCGATGTGTCCCTTTCACGTTGATGTTTCTCTCTCTCTCTCCTCTCTCTCTCTCTCTCTCTCTCTCTCTCTCTCTCTCTCTCTCTCCCTCCCTCCCTCCCTCCCTCCTTCCCTTCCTCCCTCCCTCCCACTCTATCTGAACAAAAAATGGAAAAATGTCCTCGGGTGAGGATAAAAAAAAAAGAACCACCACCTTCCTTGTGGGTGAGGAGGTGGTTGAAGACTAAAAAAAAAAAAAAAATGGTACAGCTTAAAAATGAGTTCTTCCGTGCATCTTGATAACTGCTTAAGACTGATGTACTTATTTTAAATGACATCGATCACAAGTAGTCTCTGCCATGTAATCTTAAAGGTCTAACAAGGAATCCTCCTGCTACTCCAGGGATCCTTAAATAAGAAAGACTTTCTCTTCATAGTCAAGTAATGGAAGTAAAATCTTAGCTGCAATGGCAAACAAGTTGTTGAGTTTTTCGACTTCTTCTGGGGCACAGTAGACAGCGGAGAACTGCAATTGTGCCATAATGAAGTTAGTGTGCGTGGGGTAGGTATCAACTAAGTGCTCCATGGCTAACTCCACTGCCTGCCTGACTGACCTCGCAAATGTTAAATGTGAACTTCTCATTGCTGAGCAACATACATCTTAAATGTGTAGCTCTCAAGTATAGTTGGACAAATAGCCAAAGGGCACATCTAATTATTAAAACACTTGATTTTACGTTCTTCATAGCCATAAGAGTTAAATCCATCCTAGGCATTTAAAAAAAATCATGTTAAAATCTCATTGCAAGTATCCTAAAGAGGTCGAAGGGAAGTGTCTATGAGGAACATAACAGCATGCATTTCACTTCAGATAATATAATCCTAAAATCAGAGATTGTTTTTTAAAAATTTACAAATCCCAATTTTGTGTAGTTCAAAGAAAGAGTATATTTGTTTGGAAAGAGTATCTTTATTTCATCATTCTACCACTTCAAAACTTTTAAGTGTTCAAAGGTTAGCACAAGATAATCAACTAAACTTGGGACTAGTATGCATAATCAACAATCATTTGGAAATTGTATATATAATAGTGTTGTGATGGTCAATTTTATGTCAATTTGCCTGGGCCACAATGGTGCCCAGATATTTGGTTAAACATTGTCCTGGGTGTGTCTCTAAAGGATAAGATTAACATTTGAGTCCTTGGACTTTGAAAGCCCATTGTTGGCCTCATCCAATCTATGGAAGGCCTGAACAGAACAAAAAGGTTGAGTAGAGAGGATTTGCTGTCTTTTCCGCACAGTTCAAGCTGGAACTTCAGTCTCCTGCCTTCAGACTCTGACTTGGACTGGAATTTATACGACTGGCTCTCCTGGTTTTCAGATCTTCATAGCTGGACTGGAACCACTGGCTCTCCTGGGTGTCCAGCCTGCTGGCTGCAGATCCTGGGACGTCTCAGCCTCTAAAACCATGTGTGCCAATCACACACACACACACAGTCATATATATATTATATATACATATTTTGTGTATATATGTACTACAGTGCTGTTATATGATACAGCACCCCCCCCCACACACACACACACATACACACAAAAGCACCTATAAACAAACAAGTACAGTAATTGCTTGAGTCTTTCCTGAGTGCTAGATCTTTCTATGTCTTTGGATAAAAAACCACCAATGTTCAAAGAGGAACACAGTCTTGTAGATACCCCAAAGGTTTTTAATTCATTTCAACCCACACTTAAACATTTTCCATGATCACAAAACAATGAGGAGAATGAATAAAAACAAACTTGGAAAGAAACTGGAGAGTCTAAGACTGAGACCCTCATTGATCCAAGGCCTGCTAGCTGGTGTCCTTCGAGTCTCAGTCCGAAGGCACCTCCCCACAGAGGCCATCTTTGACCACCTCAATAAAAGTAGCTCCCACCCGACAGCTCTAGCTTTGAATAGATTCTCAACTGGAATTCCAGGGAGCCCTGGGTTCTGCAGATGTCAAAAGGGGTTCCACAAGAGTCTGTGAATTGAAAACCGTTTTTTAAAAAAGCTTTGCGCTGTGCAATGCTAACACTCACAATGATTAACTGTCCTTTTTTGTTAGAGGTCTTTCAGCCCTATATGGCAGGGCGCAGGGCAGTGTTCATTTGAATCTGTTCTCAGTGAGTTTTTGACATTAGATAAAGGAGTCCATGTGATCATTGGTCAGCACTATTGCAGGTACCTTTACATCAGCTGCTTCGCTGATATAAAGGTAGCAAGATGTGGATTGTTATGGGTAGATGTAAATTGTTACTTACTTTTGGCTTTTGCTTCTCTTCTTTAGTTTATTATTATTATTTTTTGAGGGAGTACGTGCCCCTAGCGGGAACCGAACCCGGGACTCTCTGGTCCACAGGCCGACGCTCCAACCGCTGAGTCGAACCAGCCAGGGCTATTATTATTATTATTATTATTATGCCTCTGTTTTATATTTGTGTTTGATTTTTTAAAAATGTCTGATGGTCCAATATGGCCATTAAAAAAAAAACAAAAAACATTTTTATTGAGTTTTAGAGAGAGGAAGGGAGGGAGGGAGAGAGAAACATCTACTGGCTGCCTCCTGCATGCCCCTTACCAGGGATGGAGCCTGCAACTCGGGCATGTGCTCTGACTGGGAATCGAACCAGCAACCTTTTGTTGCACGGGACAATGCTCAACTACACAGGCCAGGGCCAACATGGCTATTTTTAAGGAAAATACATGGGATTGAAGAGAAACATTCTGAGCCTCTATACCTTATGGACAATTCTATAATTAAGACTAATTATAACTTTGTGTCTTTTCATTGCACTGATAAAATGAAGGACACACAAAAAGTTACTATCAATGGGTTTTAGGTGGGCTGGTGATCCAAGCTGGCCTATTTCATTGTGTGTTGTCAAACAACTTAAAAATGCAGCAGTTGTTCCAAAAACTTTGAAAAGCACTTAACTACAAATCACAGTTGTTTGATAATAAAGGTGCTGATTCTTTTTTTTTTTTTTCTTTATTGATTTTTTTTAAAGAGAGGAAGTGAGAGAGAGAGAGAAACATCCATGAGAATATCAATTGGCTGTCTCCAACATGCCCCACACTGGGGATCAGGCCCACAACCTGGGCATGTGTCCTGACTGGGAATTGAACCGGCGACCTCTTGGTGCATGGGTTGATGCTCTACCACTGAGCCACACCAGCCAGACATAAAGGTGCTGATTCTTTTAAACAGCTACTAGAAACTCAAAACAAAGGGTGTCAAGCCCTGGCCGGTGTGGCTAGGTGGTTAGAGAGTCAGCCTGTGGACCAAAGAGTTGCAGGTTTGATTCTGGTCAAGGGCACGTAACTCGGTCGGGGTCGTATGGGAAGCAACCAATAGATGTGTCTCTTTTACATCGATGTTTCTCCCTCTCACTCTATCTGAAAATAAATGGAAAAATATCCTCAGGTGAGGATTAAAAAAAAACAAAGGGAGTCAAGTTTGTGTTTTGTTTTTTTTAAGTCACATTTAGTGGAAAGGGTCAAGAAGCAATTTATTTAGTAGCTAAACTTATTGTCCAGAAAAGGAAAAGTCACACAATTGGTGAGAATATCATAAAGCCACCATATAAAATGCTAGGATAAGATTTAATATGAGAAATTGGAAAAATTCTGCTTTCAATAGAATGATAAGTTGAGGTAGTGATGACATGTCCCATGATGCTGAAAACTGTTTTTCTTTTTCTTTTTTTTCATTGATTTTAGAGAGAGAGGAAGGCAGAGAGGAGGAGAGAGAGAGAAGGAGAAAAACACTGATGTGAGAGAGAAACACTGATCGGCTGCCTCCTGCATGCACCCCAACTGGGGATTAAAGCTGCAACCCAGGCATGCGCCTTGACCAGGAATCAAATCTGCAAACTTTCGGTGTACCAGATGTCACTCAACCAACTGAGCCACACTGGTAGAAAAGTTTTGTGTAATGAACTGAAAAACAATAGCTCTATTCAGGTGGATGAGTCAACAGATTTTACCAATAAATGTCATTGTAACATTGTAGCATTGGTAAGACTTATAAATGATAATAAATCTCAAGAAAACTTGCCTGCTGTAAAGATCCACCTGAAACAAGCAAAAACCAAGAAACATTTAGTATTTTCCTTTCTGGAAAACAAAAGTTCTGTATTGAAGGAACCGTGTTCACAATCTGTGTGATGGCTCCTTAAGAAGTTTCACATCCCTTGTAAAGAAAGAAAAGCATGACAGTGTCACAACACACTGCTTTCTTCACAGAGAGGTGCTGAAGTAAAAAAGTGGAACCTGGCTGGAGTGGCTCAGTGGATTGAGCGTTGTCCCATGGACTGAGAGGCCCGGGTTAGATTCCGGGTCAGGGCACATGCCCAGGTTGCAGGCTTGATCCCCAGTAGGGGGCGTGCAGGAGGCAGCCAGCCGATCAGTGTTTCTCATAGATGTTTGTCTCTCTCTACCTTCTCTCTCTTAAAAAAAAAAAAAAAAAAATCAATAAAAAACATTTAAAAACTCGTGAAGATGTAATGCCAAAGCTCTGAGTGATTTTACAAAATTAGGAAACTGCCCTGGCCGCTTTGGCTCAGCGGTTAGAGCCTTGGCCTGAGGACCAAAGAGTCAGAGGTTCAATTCCAGGCCCTGATCAGGGTTGTGCAGGAGGCAGGGAGGCAACCAGTCAATGTGTCTCTCTCACATCAATGTTTCTCTCTCTCTCTCTCTCCTCTTTCTCCTCCTCTATCTAAAGAGAAATGAAAAAATATCCTCAGGTGAGGATTGAAAAAAAAAAGCAAAATTGGTCAACTGTGCTTAAACAAAGGCCAGTTCACTTGAGTATGTTCTAAAAGCTGTGGAAACCTGGGTAAGGACACAAAAATCTCCTGACACTCAGTAAAATCTGGCAGCTTTCCAAAAGAAGAGTTCTTAATGTGGGTATTTGAACTGACAGGCAACTTGAATACTTTTGCGAAAACAGTAAGTTGAATTTTTCTGAATATAAAGAATATCAGCAGAAACTATTTAGCAAACACTTTATCACATGATCTAGATGGATACATATCTGAGGCCTGGGAGAAATGTTTTGACTCTAAGTATCAAGATTCTTGGGGATAAATAAATACACATTGATAAAGAAAATCTTGAACTGTTTCTACTGCAGCTTGTCCCTAAGAGGGAGGAAAGATTTCAGTCAGCCTCAAGTCTTACTGAGCACTGCCTGGAGGAAGGCAAACGAATGGGACAGTGGTTTGCCTTCCTTCCAGCACCAACCACTGAATGACCAGGTGAGGGACCTTTTCTCTGAATCATCTGCTCAGCTTGAGAACTTGACATTGAGAGAAGATAAAGAATATTGTCAACTGCAGTCTGATAGTAAACTCTAGATAAGATTCATGATCTCACCCCAGACAAGTTCTGGATTTCTTCAAAAGTAGAGTATCCTGCTACTCATAGGCACACAATGAAAATTCTGCTGCACTGTTCAACTTCTTACTTACACGAGCAAATATTTAGTAGCTTAACAAGAACAAGGATAGCAATGGTCTCATTTCAACAGAAAATGAAATCTATGGGTGCATATTTCAAATTTATTCCAGGATCAAGTATTTGTGTAGTCCAAAATAATCATAGACTTCTTTTGTTTTCTTCCTTTCTTTTTTAAAGTATATTTTCTTGTATTATTATTATTTTTAATTGTGTTTATAGGGGTGACATTGGTTAATAAAATTATATAGGTTTCAGGGGTATAATTCTATAATACACTAATACAGGTTTCCTTTAAAAAGTAAATTTTACTCTTTTAGTTTCAAAAATAATATTTTAATGCACATAGGCATATAAAAGACTAAGAAACCAAGACATGTCAACAGTAACTCTTTTATTCTAACATTTTTGCATTTATTGATCATCTGTTTGTATTTTTTTTTATTTATTATTCCTCACCTGAGGATATTTTTCTACTTATTATCAGATAGAGTGAGAGGGAGGAAGAGAGGGAGACAGAGAGAAACATCAATGTGTTAGAGCCACATCAATTGGTTGCCTCCCGCACAACCCGACCAGGGCTGGGGACAAACCGCAACTGAGGTATGTGCCCTTGACTGGAATAAAATTTGTGACTCACTGGTCTATGGGCTGACACTCTAACCTCTGAGCCAAACTAGCCAGGGCTGTTTTTGTTTTTATTTATACTTATGCCTGTAAGCATTTCCTCAACACTTTATATGTCTATAGAAGACTATATCCCTATAGAGACTATAAATGGATTCTGGACATGGACCAAAGATTTGATTTACTTTAAATCCACACACAGCAGATACTTTATGTTAACTATTCTTTTTTCAGTGAATCCTATCAAGATTCGGATGGACAAATTGGGTTTTAAATTTATTCAGCACTTTGTATATGGCTGTTTTCTTTGGTGATCCCAGGAAGATTCACTAGACTCAGTAGCGGGTTATACACATGGCTAAGATTGATTGCAGCAAAAGGTAAAGAGCAAAAGCAACAGGAAAAAGATGCATTGGTGAAGTCCAGAGAGGTTCAGCACAGGCTTCCAATGTCCTTTGTCTGAAGCTACACAGGAATTCTCTCTAGCAGCAAACTACAAGCCCACTTGAGTCTTAGGGTCCAAGACTTCTATGGGGAGCTGTTAATGTACACATATTCTGCTATGCAATCAGCCATGGCAACTGAAACTCAGGACCCCAACAATGAAACCAGGTACACATTTCTACAAAGCAACTTGACAATCCAGTGTGGCATGATCCATTGCCCCAGGTGTATATAACAAAATCATCACTAATACAAAGAATACCCCAAGAGCCAAATTCCCAGGATTGGACAAGGGTCAATCATGGTTCCCTTAGAGACATGCCAGGAATAAGCAACCAGACCTGATGCATTAACTTTTTTGTCACAAGGATCTGTAGTCTTGCTATCATCTTTTACCAATTCCTGGGTTACAAAGAGAAATAATTTAAAGGCAATTATATCCTGGCAAATGACAAGATATTTTTAAGACCACTGCATCTCTAAATAATTTATTCTAGTCTAACTTCCCAACAAACACATCCCAGCCTCCAATTTCTATAGCTGGTTGTTTTTTGTAAACCAGCAGGTTACATATAGGAAGTAGTACTTTCCGCTATTTGAAATAAGAGGCCTAAGATTGACAGACCCCCACAGATACCAAAACTATAGGGCTATAATCCTTGTATGACTTGAACTTGTATCTTTTCCCCAAACCTGCTTTGCCTCCTGGATATTCTATTTCACATAGCCTTGTCATAAACTACCTGTGGTCCAAGCCAAAAGGCTAGATGACTTATCTTCTCCCCGTCCCCTAAACACAGTCACTCAACCAGTTATTACCTCCTAGAAAACTTCCTGAATCTATCTCCTTCTTTCCATAGGACCTCATTTCCATTAATTGCTCTTTTCTTGCTTCTCCTTCCCACAGGCCATTATTCATTACAGCAGAGGTGTCCTGTTCTTTCCTAGAAAGCAACACCACACACTGAAGAATTTTCTGAAGAACATGTTTTATACGAAGTACTGTAACCACTCAGGTCACTATGTTCAACTGTTTTCCTGTATGTTATTTATCTACTAATATCTATTTTATTGGAGTAAATTAGCTTTTATCCCAAATCTAAAAATACGCTCAATGGGACAGAAGCAGTTTCTTGGAGTTCTCTGAGCCATACAACAGGAACATGAATAGCTGCTTCCTACACCTCATCCTCTCTGCTGCATGGTGTCTGGGCTCTTCTCCCAGCCGTTCTCCTTTCTCATCTATTACCTATGCACACATTCCTCTTCATTAGACACTTCCGCTAAATTCCAATCCTGTAGAAAAGACCACAAGTTCAATGAGACTTCAGGGAAACAAACACTCCTTCTTGGGTAAACACATTTCGTAGGTTCCCCTCTGAGGTCATAGGCAGAAGTTATAGATGGCATTAACACATAACATCAACCTTACTATGAATTTTCAAACACCTGATTCACAAAAATAATAAAATTATCCCACCTGAACTTAAAATACTTAAGTGAGATTGCACAAAAATGAAGAAAGCTCTTAACTCATTGAGGGTCATACTGAACGAGAAAAAGCCTTTTCCTAAACTTCTAAACTGCTAAAAATCTTCACACAAAAAATATATTTGAGTCCAAACTGCCTAGATTAGTTCCTAAAGTGGGAAGTCTTCAAAAGCTTCAAATATAACTATTGTGATATTCCTTGATTTTAATTTTGTATAATAATATATGTGCAATTAGTATGCCGGTATGCAAAGCACAGACATTACTAACAGTAGAACAATTCTCAGGAAGGTGAACTAAATCTACATATTTAGTGTATCTACTTGTTTGCTCCTTTCCTAGAAAGTAATATACATATGCATTTTGTTATCTAGAAGGTGCAGAAAGGCTTTTTTGTTGTTGCTTCTTTTATATTTAAAATAAAGTTTAAGTTTTGTAAAAGTAATATGTACTGTAATAAAATCAAATGTACAAAATGACATTTGTGAATTCTAAGTCTCCCTTCACCTCCAGATTCTCAGGCCCTAAATCAGAGGCAACTACTATCAGTAGATATGGCTGGACTCTTCTTCCAGGGATACTTGGCCTGGATACAAAAAGTTAGGGATATTCTAAAGATAGTATCATGTAAAGAAGCCACTAGACTCTTTTGGAGTTATTTTTGAATCAATATCCAATTTTCAAAGATCAGATAGGCTATTAATCCAACCATTACATTATATTAATCCAATATAATACAGTATTATAACTATATATTTTTATTGTAATAAAATTAGCAGAAGTAATTTTCATAGATAGAATTTATATATTATGGTCCCTAAGCTATAATTCTAATATTGCACCACCACCATTAATGGCTCAAATAGTCATTTCTTTCTCTGATTCTTCTATTTTTCCCATAGCAGAAAGTTTTTTTGCCTCTACTACTCTCCATATACATTTGCCCTATATCTTTTAGATCTTAAAAAAAAATCTCTCTAATCTAGTACTTACTTTAGCCAGATACCAGAAGAAAATATTTCTGTTGTCATTTCAGTTATGTCCATAGTCTTCTCCCTGAAGATGTGACTGAAGGTGTTATGCTACAGGATCTGGAGTATACACCAGTTAGAACAAGCAAAGGTAACTACACGTAGACTGCAGTCAGATAGTGAACACAACCTCTGTTCTCAAGCAGAATAAAACAACTGAGGGCAGTCTAGCAAATAAAAGAAAATCAGATAAGTTATTTGTATTAAATAAATATTTTTATTTTCAGGACTTGGGTGTCTTATTTTATAGAACTGGCACATTTAACATTACTTGTAGCAAAATAAGGTTTAAACACAATCTTCCAGAAACACATGTATAAAGCAAGATATATACTGATTTCCATATATAAACCTCAATTTATGAAGATAAATTAGATAAACAATTTTAAAAATGTGTTACCCTGAGAAGATAAATCAATAGTCACCAAAATGCTGGACTAAATTAACAATGCCAAGAGTAATTAATGTAACAATAGTTCCAATAAGGCCTTATTAAATAATCAATTAGAATCATTTAAAAGGGAAAAAAAAGATTTAGCAAAAAACTCCTGGCCAGTAGCATTAGTTTATTTTTATTTATTTACTTATTTATTTTTTTGGTACGTGCCCCTAGCAGGAACCGAACCCGGGACTCTCTGGTCTACAGGCTGATGCTCCAACCACTGAGCCAAACTGGCCAAGGTGCATTAGTTTATTTTTAAAAGACCATTCTTACTTCACAGAGCTGATGGTATAAGGCATTTGCTATCAAAATTAAATAATTCTAAGGGCGGTGTGGTTTCTAGTACTACTTTTACTTTTGTAATATTCTGAATATTATTGTTTAGGAAATCGTAATTTTCCTTTAGAGGTAATTTTGTTAAGTTTGCTGCAAGACTTCTCCCAAAAGTTTTACAATATCCTAAGTTCTTAATTTGTTTGCTATGGTTACTTTTTTCCTTTCCAATGATTATCAGCCAGAAAATAAGGTGAACTAATATCTCTTTACTCTTAAATTTTTCGGTATACACTTATTTCATGAATTGCTATGTGACCCTCAGCAAGTTACTTAACTTCTTTGGGTCCCCATATTATCACTCTTAAAAAAGAAAGTTGGTCTAGAGGTGACCTATAATAGGGATCCTATTAACGTGATGGTTATGATAAACTACATCAGCAGCAGCAGCTCACTCAGCTAGCTACGCAGTGAGGCTGCCTGTTGCCTGCTTTCTCTTCCTCTGGGGAAATCACTGATTTAAGATTACTTTTAGCTATAAAATGTCTGAGTCTATAGTGATCATGAGATGAAAGATAACCATCTGAAATTGTGCAAAGTTGAAATGCATTTTTTTCTTCTTCTTTTCCCTCACCTAACTTCTACTTGTTGAGTACTGTGCAGGGTTCTGATAGAACAGACATGGTTCCTGAATAAAATCATTTTTTTTTAATCCTCACTCGAGGATATTTTTCCATTTTTTTGTACAGATAGAGCGGGAGGGAGAGAGAGGAAGAGAGAGAGAGAAACATCGACGTGAAAGGGACACATCGAGTGGCTGCCACCCGCACGACCAACCAGGGCCGGGGACAAACTGCAACCGAAGTACGTGCCCTTAGCGGGAACCGAACCCGGGTCTCTCCGGACCGCAGGCCGACGCTCTAACCGCTGAGCCAAACTGGCCAGGGCAAAATCATATTTTTGTAGTTATTAGTAAAACAAAGAAACAGAACATATAATTTTTTCTTTGTTGATTTTTAGAGAGAGAGGAAGAGATAGAAACATCGATGAGAGAGAACGTCCATTGGCCACCTCCCGCATGACCCCACTGGGGATCTGGCCCACAACCTGGGCATGTGCCCTGACCAGAAATCAAACCAGCAACCTCTTGGTGCAGGGGTTGACGCTCAACCACTGAGCCATACTGGCCGGGAAAGAAACAGAACATATAATTTTAAGGAAGTCTATGCTACCTCAGCTTTCAAAATATTCCCTCCCCACTGCTCTTCTGTGCCCATTTGATGAAATTAATAGGAAAATCTCTAAAATTAAGAGAAGTATCTGACTGGCATTGAGTTGAACTTTAACCTCAAGCTTTCAAAGAAATGTAAGAGGTCACAGCTTTAATTTCCAGTGGCTTGATTACTTTAAGATGCTAGGCTAGCCCTGGCCGGTTTGGCTCAGCGGTTGGAACATTGGCCTGCGGACCAGTGTCCTAGGTTCAGTTCCAAAAACAAACAAAAAAAACAAACAAAGATGCTAGGCTATTGTTGTATACACTGATTCTCTACAAAAATATTTTAAGGTAAGATAGCTCACTAAGATAAAGAGGTATCTACAGTGACAGAATGTGTTGGCATGTCTTTTATCACACTTATGGGTCTACATTACATTATTTGTATACGTTGAACAATTTATATATATTTAATTTTGTACAAATTAAGTTTCATCAGCAAAATTAGACAAGAGTTTGAACTCTGAACATATTAATATCTTTCTTCCCTAAATTTTAAACCCTTTCCCCTGCTTTTAGGAAACATAGTTGCATAATTCAAACTCCTTCAATATTGTGACCTAGTTCCCCCATCTTGATGTTATAATTGGCTCAAGTAACTATGGTAACCATCCAGGGAAAACAACATTTTTCTGGTCAGCAATATGCAAAGTATACCATATGTGTTTATTTTTTTTCTCTGGGATAACTGAAGTAGATAATATGTTTTTCTTTTTGATTATGGAAATATTTTATTATACTGAATTTTCTCTTAACTATAGTCCCAGTGATTCAGTCCCTGCATTACAATGTTTTAAGATCATCCTTTGCTGTGTACTGATTCTAAATGCTGAACAGTACTATAACCCATAGTAGGATTGATTGTGTGTACCAACTTGAAATGTGTTGTCTACCTCATAAAATAAATGTACAGGCTGACATTGCTCAGATTGTAATATTCTATTTCGAGAACCTGGTGTTTTCTTAACTGTGTCCTTTAGTCCTAGTCAGTGTTTCCTTAAAGCAAAAAACTAAAATGTATTCACATCTTCAGGGTATACTTAGATACAAGAAAAGTTACCTCCAGTTTGTAGTGAGTCTTAAAAAGCTTCATTTTAAAATGTTCTCATCGATGTTTCTCTCTCTTTCTCTCCCTCTCCCTCTTTCTAAATCAATAAAGGAAAAAAAAAAAGTGAAAAAGCTTCATTTTAGCCCTGGGCGGTTCGGCTCAGTGGTTTGAGTGTTGTCCATGGACCAAAGGCTCTTGGGCTCTCGAGTTAGATTCCCTGTCAAGGGCAACTACCTGGGTTCTCGTTCGATCCCCAGGAGGCAACCAGTGGATGTAAGAAATCCATGTTATTGTTCTCTCTCTCTAAAAATAGACAAAGATTCACTTTAGCTCTATTTTATTTTTCTGTAATTAATGTCTACTACTTCTGCAATAATGAGACTAAACATGCTTTAAAACTGAGCTCAGTGGAAATGCAGACTTTTTTTTTAGTTGCCTGCTACAGTAAAGAATTTAAAAGTTTTGGTTATTTTTCTGTACAATTTGAAATGCTTCATTGGACCCTGTAGAACAAATTATATTATAAGTTAACACAAACTCCTAGATTTTTAAGGATTTTTTTAGTTGCATTAGGTACATTTGTACAGTAAGCTATCAATTGGTGACCTTTTAATGTGGAAATTTTGTTTAAAGTGATTTTCTTGAATTTACCTATATTTTGAGCAGTGCTTTTCAACCATCCAAATATCTTCCTTAGAAAAACATTGGTATCTGCTTCACTGAATTAAATATGGAATTAACTACCTCTTACTGATTTAGAAAGGACCTGACCAACCAAATGCAAAGTGTGGAGCTTGCTTGGATCCTGTTGAACAAACCAAGTGTAAAAAGATATTAAAACAATAGGGAAATTTGAAATGTCCGGAAATTAAATGATAGTAATATTTTTTGATGGGATAATGGTATTGTAGTTGTTTTTAAAAGTTATCTGTTATCTTTTCATATTTAAAGTATTTACAGCTAAAATAATAATCCAGCAAGGGTAAGGGGGTCATAGATGAAATAATATTGGCAAATGTTCAAGCTAGGTGAATAGTATATTAGGATTTACTACACTATTTATCACCTCTACTTTTGTGTTGGAAAATTTTCATAATTAAAAAAGTTTTTAAAATTAAAAAGTTGAAATAGTAAAGGATTTCGAATTTAATAGGCCTGATTCATGCAACAGCTGAATTTTCTCAAGAGGTGTCATTAGGAATCCTTCAGAACTATTTGCTAGTTTTTAATCAGAGTCTGAAGTTGTTGCTTTGCCCTCTCAGTATAAACAAGGGCTATAGGACATAGGTTTAGACGCCTAAGCAATTCCTACAAGGGACTTCTCAAAGTCACTGACTTAGAAATTAAAGGTAACTTAGGGATTTCAGTTACTATATATTTTTAGGGTTACTTTATGGTAGAAAATATATTGAAGAGCAAATAAAATGCCCTTTTTGGTTTATTCCTAAGATTAAGTATCACCAATTAACTTCTATGTTGCAGAGAATTGGGAACTTGAGGGGAGAAGGGAGAGGGAGAAAAAACATGGAACGGCTGCCTCCCACAGGCACCCTGATGAGGGACTGAACCGGAAACCTGGTATGTGCCCTGACTAGAATCAAACTGGCCACCTTTGGGAGACCATGCTCCAACTGAGCCACACCAGCAGGGCAGAAATGAGAACTTATAATTACATTTAACAAAATAAGGAAACCCAATCTGAAAAAGTCCCAAATTTCCAGTTAAGTAATTACTAAGGCCCAGCAGGTGTGGCTCAGTGGTTGTGCATCAACCCACACACCAGGAGGTCAGGAGGTCAGGAGTTCCGGGTCAGGGCACATGCCCAGGTTGTGGGCTCAATCCCCAGTGGGGGGGCATGCAGGAGGTGGCCAATCGATGTTCTCTCTCTCCCCCCCCCCTAAAAATCAGTAAAGAAAAAAAATTTTTTTTAATTATTCAAAAAAATAATTACTGAGAAGAAAAGGACATTATAATCAAGGTCAAGACCTGATAAATAACCGAGGTCAAAAGTTGAGTGTGGGGAGTATGGTGACTTTTTTCCCTTGTGAGTACATCTCAGTATGCTTTTACAAGTATGGCAGGAATAGCCAAACCTTTGATTAACTTTTATAAATATAGCAAGAAAAGCACGTCTAAAATAATTCATACACACACACACACACACTGCCATCTTAGAGTGTTCTTTATAGGTTTAGACTAACATAAGCTGAAAAAAGTCATTATTTGTATTTTTTTACTTCCTTTCTGCCTGTTCAACAGAATTATGAAAGGTGAAAATAATGCTGTAAAAGGTCTCCATTCCCATACTCAATGTTCCTTCCTCACATCTTGCTCTAGGTCCTGGAGGGAGCACTCTCAGTACTCTGCATCATTGCCTTTTCTCACTTCTAGTTTCTAACCACGTGTCTCCTCTGCCTGCAGATCACTCTTCAGGCTGAATAAAATCCCTCGGTGCATTCGGTGTCTAACCTGAAGCAATAAAAAACGAGGCATCTTGCATTACTTGGGGCCTTCAATAAATCTACAAGTAAACAAAAACAGCAGGGTTCAGATAAAAAGCAATACATTTCAATTCTTAACAGCAGATCTCTATATCTCTATCTCTATATATATTTCTCTCTCTCTCTCTCTATATTTTTTTACTCTCTCTAAGACCTGACTTCTCAATCTGAAAGATTTAAAGGGCAGTAAAACCCCTAGCCGGTTCTCAGAAATGCAAGGCACCCCGGCCGGCCGGGCGAGCACCACCCCAGCAGCCTGCGCCGCGGCGCCCGGGGAGCGCGGGGCCACCTCCGCGGCCTGTGCAACGCACGCTGCTCCCAAGACGCGAGCTTCTGGAGTGCTGGCGATGGGGCTGGACTTTCAACTTCCCTCTAGCTCAAGGGCTCGATTTCTCTTTAATGTCAGCGGTTACTGACTACTACGAGCGGTTTCACAAGTGCGCTCCAGGGGTCACGGTACAGGTGTACCACCGCGGCGAACACCCCAATCTGTCCCCCACGCACGTCTTCTTGAACTCAAAGGTGCTCCTCACAGCAGGGTCTGTTTACACAGACATTCCATTAAAAGTCTCCTATTCGCTCCGCTTGCACCCACTGCTCCCACAAACACACGTCACCCCGCGTACCGAGTCCGCCGGGACTGACACGCGCCCCCGGCCGGGCCTCACGGAACACCCCGCAGGCAGGGACCGCGCAGTAGGACGGGGGCCAGGTCCCCGATTGGATCTCACTCCGGTCCACACCCCTCTTCCCTCCGGCCAGCCAGTGGGTTTTGGTCTGAGGGTGAAGATGTGACAAGGTGTTGGGGTGCCCCTCGCCGGCGTTCAATGCTTCAACATTCTGCCCACGGAAAAAGACTTTTTTTAGCGGCTGTCTGTGGTTGGCCAAACACGGCCCCGGGGCAGACGCAGCTGCACTAAGGAAACGGGGTTCCCGGAGAGCCGGGGGCGGAGGAACCTGCTAGACTCCGGGCGCTGGGAGACGGAAGCACGCCGAAGCCAGGAGGGAGATTTAAAAGGCGGGACGGCTGAAAGAGAAAGAAAACGCGGGGCGCTCGTGAGGGCTCCGCCTACCTCCGCGATCACCCCCCGCCGCCCCGAGAGCCCCGAGGCCGCGGCGGGAGGGGGCGCGGGGCCGAGAGCAGCGCCCAGGCGGCGGCGGCGGCGGCCCGGCGGGACCACCACCTCGGCGCATGCCGGGAGCCGCGCGCGCTGCACGCTGGGCCGCGTAGTCCCCTCGGGCCTCACTCACTCCAGGCTGCAGCGGAAAGCGGCTGCCTGCTGCTCCTTTTAAGGCTCGCGAGAGGCCGCGCTAGATCCACCGATGGGGAAAAAGTCGGTAACTGCGGGCCGAGGGAACCGGGCCAAGTCTCTCCCTCCCTGTGGCAAGGGCGCAAGGAAAGAGTCGGCCACCTTCCCTTTCAAGTCCCACTCAGACCCTGGGCTGAGCGGTGGGCCTGACAGTCATTCTCCTTTAAGAGGGGGCGGGGCGCAGCTGCCGTTTGGCCGGGCCGAGAGTTGACAGACCAATCGCCCGGGCGGCGGAGGGAAGGCGGGAGAATGCGAACCCTTCGGTAGGGCGGTAGAGGCGGGCCCCCAGCCTTATTAGGAGTGAGTCCTGCGCAGGCGCAGTGGCGGCCACCGCGGAGGGGCGGGGGCAGTCCAGTGAGAGACTCTCCGACAGGCTCGGAGGGTGATTGGGAGAAAAGGGGGCAGCGAAGGGCTTGTCATGGGGATCCGAGCTAGGAGACGGCACTGGTAGAATCTGGGAACCCCGAGGGGGGCAGGAAGTGTCAACGCCCGAGACCCCGGCGCCAGCTCCGCTGGCGGGATCCCCGCTACTCTAGTCCCGAGGAGGGAGGACAAAAAGGAGGGAGCCCTGATCTCGCCCCGCCCCTGGGCTTGTTACCGCGGGGGCGGGGAGTGAGGGCTTCTTTTGGGGGGAGTGGAGATCGGGGGACTCGGCTGTGTCCTCTTGAGCGGCGGCCGGTGTCCCCGCGGCGCCGGGCTGCGGAGCAGAGGAGCCGCGGCGGCCGTGGCTGTTGCATGTGTGGCTGCTGGATGCGGAGGCGGCGGCGGCGGCGGCGGCGAGGAGCAGCGGCGGCAGCAGGATGTTAGGGCAGCAGCAGCAGCAACTCTACCCGTCGGCGGCGATCCTGACCGGGGAGCGGAGCCGGCTCCTCACCTGCTACGTGCAGGACTACCTCGAGTGTGTGGAGTCGCTGCCCCACGACATGCAGAGGAACGTGTCCGTGCTGCGGGAGCTGGACAACAAATATCAAGGTAGGGGCCACGGGGCAGCCTGTGCGGTCCTCCCTCCCTCGGTCCGCTGGCCTCGCAGCAGGTCGCTCTGGGAGCCTGCCCGAGGAAGTGACACTTTCCTCCCCTCCTGTGACAGTCTCTGCGAGTGCACGGAGCGGGTCTGGTGTGTGGGGCCGGGGAGAGCGACGGGAGAGCGGCGGGAGAGCGGGCTCGCGGCCCTCCCTTCCCCGCCGGCGGTCGGCGAGGACTTCGGTGGGGTCTCAAGGGTGGGGGTGGGGGCCGCTCGTCAGCCCACGCTGCAGACCCAGCGGCTGCAGCTGGCGTGGAGGGGAATCAGCCATTTTAAGTAGCAAGCATTTGTTCTGGCCCTGGCTTGCTCCGTGCCGCAGACCCTCCTGTCCGGCGAGGGAGCGTGCAGCGGGCGGCGGGCTGTAGGGAGTGAGTGGCCGGCCCGCTGGGCTCCGGGCCTGGCCGGCCCCAGCCCCTCGGCCCCCACCCCCTGAGAGCATATGCCTTGGAACGTGCGGGGGGAGGGGGCGAGAGACGACCGCGAAGGCGGACTCCGGGGAGGTCCCTCCCTCTGCTCCCGGCTCCCGCTCGGCAGTCGGGGTGTCCGTTCTCCTCTCCCGCCTCAGGGAGAGTTCGGGGCTGTAGCCTTTTCCCAGCTCCTTCAGCCAAAGGGTTAAAAGGGGAGGGGTCCCCGCGGGTGAAGGAAGAGGGGTGTGTGTGGCTGGGAGGGCCCCCTGTCCTGGGGGCGTGGCCTGCGGGCCTGACGTAGGCATGGGAGGGGCGCAGAGCGCGCTCCCGCCCGCCTCGAAAATGGCTGGTGGCTGTAAGGTGTGGGCTGCGCTGGCTGGTCGGGCGGGCGTCGGAGCCGTGAAGGACGTTAGTTCCTCTCTCGTAGCGTCAGTGCTGGGGTATGGGGCATGTTTGTTGTGGTTTTTCGACTCTTTCCCAACCACTCAATTGTGACGAGGGACAGTCCGCTACTGGGAGCGTCCCTGGCCCTGGTTCCGGTCCTTGCGTCACTTCCGGGTACCAGGAGGATGTGGGTGGTTGACTGGGCAACCGCCTGGCGTCCCTTAACCCCTCCCTCTGCCAAGTATAAGTGATGAGGCAAAAAGCACCCTTTGTGGTCAGACCCAAAGGCCCAAGGACAAGGAGTCAGCCTTTCTTACAGAGAGTATCACTTATCATCCACTATTGGTGGACCCTTCACCTGCTACTAGCAGGGGAGAAGTTTAAATGGGGAGCCGTTGTGCTTTTAACCACCCTGAATCAAGGAACAGATCTTGGATATAAAGAGGAAACAGCTATACTGACTTTAAAGAGAGAACTTGACCCATTCACTGTTTTTTCTAGATACGTCGTGTCGTTAATCATAATTTACTATCTAAAGAAACCACTTCTGGGGCGGCATTCTCTGGCCTTTAGCATGTTAACATACTTAAATGTCTCTGTTTTAAAATCTAATTTATTTCTGCCTTCTGAATCCATGATTGATAGGACACCTCACTGTTAGGGGGGAGGAGAATTAATGTTGATTACTTACTGTGTTTTTGCTGTGCCAGGTCTAGAACATTATCTCATTTAATCCTCACAATACTATGAAGTAAAAGTTTATGGATAAGTTAAGCTTTACAAGGAGTTTAAGTAACTTGTCCAATTAGGTGGGGGATGTTTGACTTCACAGCTTGGCTACTTCAGGTTCCAGGCTTACTGTTTTTTTGTTTTTGAACTATTTTAATGTTTAATTTTTTTTCAAAGGAAGGCTCTTGAAAGGTATTTTCTACAGACATGGAGCATTGTAACTTAAAAATGAAAATGAAACATATGTGCTTAAGAATTGTATGTTCAGCATGGTTAGTTTTTCTGATAACTCTGAAGTTGGTAAAGGTTTTCACATTTCTATAAAGACACATACCTATATTTGTCTTCACAAAAGTTAAGCTGTTTCTTTTCATTTGAATTGGGAGGGACAGTTTGTTACAGGGAAATCTTCCTTCCGTCTTGACCATCTGCTCTGGTAGCATGGGAAACAGTATTAGGACTTAAAAGACTGAGAGAGTATAAAAATTTCTAGCTGCATTAAGATTGTGATTAGTTTCAAGATTAATATAAAAACAATGATCTAGTTTTCACTCTGCACATGCTTACTATGTTCAGCTTTCAGTTTTATATTTAATAGCTTTAAATACTTGTGTGTTCTTGGTTCAGAATTATTTTATTTCTTTGCTAGTTTTAAATTATTTTCTGATTCTGGATCTAATAATGCAGTATTTAGTGATATAAATTATGTTAACAATCAAACTTCCTAACTATTTGAGACACTTTAGAAATTACTGAGGAACCTTAAAAGTAACCTTAAAAACTTAAGAATAGACAAATGAAGAAAGTCGTACAATAATGAAATATTTATTATGGGATATGGTTATTAGAGAACCTCAGCTTTAGTTCCATTACTTTTGTTCATAATTTCCTGGGTAAATAAACTTTGAACTAAGATTTAATACTTAATTTCAAGTACCTTTCTTTCAGCTTAGTAGAAAATGCTTAAATGGTGGAGCCAGACATCCAGCTCTGGCAGAGATAGAAGTCTGGGGTTATCTCTTGAGCTTCATTTTCTTTAGGTATGGAAGTGATGGCTTCCTCATGGGGTTGCTATGGGGATTAAATAAGAAAATTTCTAACACATAGAAGGGTTTCAGTAAGAGTTTCCTTCTTTCACTTCAAAATTAAGGTGTCTTAAAAATTTGAATTTTTATCTCATGTATAATATCAGTGTGTTGGTATGATATAATTAGCTTCTAAGTCCTGATTAGTAGATAAAGAATATTTGAAATAAGAGTTCCCTTTATTTTTTAACCTTTAAATTGTGTGTGTCTTCGAGGAGGGTAGTGTGCAGGAAAATAATAACATTTTTCCTGGAAGAAAATTAAATTCTTAAGAAATCCACTGACATACCTAACTGGGCAAATGAGCTAGATAAAACCGCTGTTTAAAAATATGCTGTGCAAGTGTGAGTACCCTCAGATGTGTAGTGCCACTTTGTCATGTATCTGAGGTTAAACAATTGTCCATCCATTGTGAGTACCTACAAATTCCAGAGAGGAGATACTTGCTTTGTATTACCTTCTTGCAGAGAGCCCCAATGTATGTATTGTACTTGTCTAACATTTCTGTTCTTATCATTAGAATAATATTGGAATATAAAACAATGGTCTGCCATGTGGTGTGATAAATTAGAGTTAATTTTTTGTTTCTCCCCCTTTACTAAGACAGAAGAACTCTTTCAAATAGTGTTAAATCTCATAAAGATAAAAATTAGAATAGATTTGAATAAAAAATAGTCTTATGTAAACTTTGGTGATGTGTGGAGTTTTATTTTCAGGTTTTAGTATACTGTCTAGTGACTCAGCTATTTTTAATAAGATTTAACTGTTCCAAATGCTATACAATACCTAAATCAGCAATTCAAAAGCTCACTTAGAACCAGCTGCTGAGTTATCTACAAAAGTATAGTGAACCAATGCTGACTTGACTGTAATTCTGTTAGTAGCTTAGTCAGTTGATGCCAGAACATGAACCTAAACCTACCTACTCTGGAAATAGTTTAGGTTTCAGAATTCTCTCTCATGTGACAAAATAAATGAGTCCTTAGAACTAATATGATGGGAAGCTAAGAGCTACTTCTGTCTGTTTTAAGAAAGTCCAGGGAGTTCTGGCCAGTGTGGCTCATTGGTTGAGTGTGGACCCATGCACCAAGAGGTCGCTGGTTCGATTTCCGGTCAGGGCACATGCCCAGGTTGTGGGCCCAAACCCCAGTGGGGGCATGCAGGAGGCGGCCAGTCAGTGTTCTCTCTCATTGATGTTTCTATCTCTCTCTCTTTCCTCCCCTCTCCCTACCTCTCTCTCTAAAATCAGTAAAGAAAAAATATTTTTAAAAAAGAATGAAAGTCCGGGGTGGAGGGGGGGTGATAGGAAAGTAAAGGTGTAGTGTCTCCTGAGTCATGCAAGTCATTGATTGAACTGTAAATCCTGTAAATGCAGTTGGACATAATCTGCAGGCTAGTCCTTAAATTTCTTTAAGTTTTACAGCTGGAGTCTGGCATGTAAATTTTATATACAGTATTGTTTTGAGATTCAAATGAAGTATAGTCAATGTGGCACTAAGTAGACTCTAAAGTGGCATATAGTGAGCCCATCCACATAAAATACTTTTGATTATTAATTAGCCACACATTTTGTATTTTATATCGATTAATGAGTCATAGAATTTTGTGTTCTCTTATTTATTTCAAAATATACTTTTATATTGGATAACATATGGTCTTTGTATGGGAAATAGTGTTTTTTAATGTTCACATACTAAAGAAGAGAGTAGTCTTATGGTTAGAGTTCATTATAACTTTTCTAATTCTGTCAAAGATAACTTGAAAAATGTTGTATGTGCTAGCACACAATAACCTTCTGATTTTTCTTTTCCTTTTTTAGAAACATTAAAGGAAATTGATGATGTCTATGAAAAATACAAGAAAGAAGATGATTCAAACCAGAAAAAACGCTTACAGCAGCATCTTCAGAGAGCATTAATCAATAGTCAAGAATTGGGAGATGAAAAAATTCAGATTGTCACACAAATGCTCGAATTGGTAGAAAATCGGGCAAGGCAAATGGAGCTACATTCACAGTGTTTTCAAGATCCTGCTGAAAGTGAGCGAGCCTCAGATAAAGCAAAAATGGATTCTAGCCAACCAGAAAGATCTTCAAGGAGACCCCGAAGACAGCGAACCAGTGAAAGCCGTGATTTATGTCACATGACTAATGGCATTGAAGACTGTGATGATCAGCCACCTAAAGAAAAGAAATCCAAGTCAGCCAAGAAAAAGAAACGCTCCAAGGCCAAGCAGGAAAGGGAAGCTTCACCTGTTGAGTTTGCAATAGATCCCAATGAACCTACATACTGTTTATGTAACCAAGTGTCTTATGGGGAGATGATCGGATGTGATAATGAACAGTGTCCAATTGAATGGTTTCACTTTTCGTGTGTTTCACTTACCTATAAACCAAAGGGGAAATGGTATTGCCCAAAGTGCAGGGGAGATAATGAGAAAACAATGGACAAAAGTACTGAAAAGACAAAAAAGGATAGAAGATCGAGGTAGTAAAGGCCATTCACATTTTAAAGGGTTATTTGTCTTTTATATAATTCTTTCAGAATTTACTTTCAGAAAATGTTTTAGGGTAAATGCATAAGACTATGCAATAATTTTTAATCATTAGTATTAATGGTGTATTAAAAGTTGTTGTACTTTGTCTGTGACCTTAATTTTCTGCACTGAATTACCAAATATTTTAAACCAGGTAGTCTGTAGATCACCTGATGAAAGGAGCAGGGAATAGGGAGAGAGGGTGGTGTGGACATTATAAAAACTTCACAAGCCATGCTTATTTCATTTTCACTTAAAACGCGATGCTATTTTTTGGGTTAACAACAAAGTTTTGCTGGCCTTTTCGTTCTACATGCTTCAAAAATTTAGATAATAATTAGAGATATCTGCAAGCATTAAAATTATCCTGGGTAATTGAAAATAAGAACACTATATGCCATTTAAAGCTTATTTCTCCCTGGCCCCATTTATACATACACTTGTTCATCTCTAGTCTTCCCAGAATTTAAGAAACTAGGGATAATAACTTGGGATTCCATGTGGAATAATGTGCTCTTATTAGAGTATTTGCTGCTGTCTTTTCATTAGTAGCATTTTGATACACTGTTAGTAGCCCATTTGTAAATGACTTGCTGCTGCTTCATAGACACATCTTACCTAATGCTTAATAAGGGAGTTGTGTTTTGTTTTGTTTTAATTGGGACAGGTAAGAGTAGTTAGAATACTAAAAATGCCGCCATTGGCTTATATTGGCAAAATTTGGGTTCAAGATTGAGCAATGAAAAAAAAAAATCCTTCCTATTTAATAATATTTTCTGTATTGACTCACTGTTGGTACGCCTGGACACAGGCCTATCACTGGGCAAAGGGCATATACTAGTCTTTAAATATTGCCTTTATGTCAAACAGTAACTTAAATAATTTTGCTAATGGCTATAGTTCATTTCTGTCCCAATCAGTGATTATATATTATTTTAAGTAACAGTGTATTTACTTTCTTAACTTTCTGGTATTGGTGCTGTTTGATGTCTTCACATTTAATGAACTAATTTCATTATAACAATGCAATTAATAATGTATTTGTAAACTGAATTTTCCAAAATCCTACTATTTTAAGGGTAAGCATCTTGATGGATGTGTGTCCATATATTCAGATAATTTTGGGGGTTTGGGGGGGGGGGGTGGGCAGCAGATTGGCCAGTCCTTTAAATCTATGTGTAACATACTTTTTATTCCTTATTTCTTCCTAATCTGATTATCTTGATTTGATTCTTTTTGAAAAATTCTGTCTGCTTGTTTGGAAAAAAAATTGTTTTTTCTCTTTCAGCTCTCCTGTGTGACTTCTAGGCATGTCATTTCACTCATCTGGGTGTCAGATTATTCGTGTGTATGTAATATGAGGTTGGCTTAAATATTCCCAAGGCTCTTTTGAAATCATAGTGTTTTCACTGTAGTGAAGATTTTAAGAATCAAGTGACTTGGTGTTCTCTTTCATTAATTTTGTCCTTCATTTTGAGGTATGAAGACACTATTTTTTTATCCTCATCCAGGGACATTTTTGCATTTTTATCTTGAGATAGAGTGGGAGGGATAGAAGGAGGAAGAGAGAGAGAGAAACATTGATGTGAGAGAGACACATCAAGTGGTTGCCACCCACACGACCCCAACCAGGGCCGGGGACAAATTGCAACCGAAGTATGTGCCCTTAGCGGGAACCGAACCAGGGCCTCTCTGGTCCGCGGGCCGATGCTCTAACCGCTGAGCCAAACCGGCCAGGGCATGAAGACACTTTAAAAGTGAGCTTAGAGACAGGTAAATGCACAACATTTGATTAATTTATGTCCTATGGATATTTTGATCGATGACTAGAGTTTATTATATTACTTCTTGAGCAAGGAATATTAGCATGATTAGTTATTTATTTTATTGTAACTTGTTGAGTTTTAAACTCCTTTTCTCACTTGAGACCATAGTATTTGTGTTAGTAATTGCATCCTTGTTACCAGGAAAAAGCTGCTTACCTGACGCCATTAAAGATATGAGTATGTGGAAAGCCCCCAACAGCTTTCAAATATGATTTACATGGAAGTCAGCACTTTTTCATACATAAATTTAATTCAGCATATCAGCAAATAATAAACTTCCAAATAGAAGTGCCCAAATTTGGATTAGTCTTGACAGGAAAACAAAGGTACGGAATCCTGAAAGATGTGCTCTTTAAGACCCAACATTTAAAACAGTTATATTTTCATGAATTTCTTTGTGTTTTCTATACCACATAAGAAGTAGAAGTCTTAAGTTTGCATAATATTGTGACTGGGATTTTTCTTTCTGTGTTATAGATTTTCATACTTTATATCATGCTTACCAATGCATACTAGATACCAGTGTTTCCCAAACTGAACTCACAATGGAATTAACTCAAGAGCTTCAAAATATTCTGATGCCTGTGTCCCACCCCCAGCAATTGTGATCTAATTCATTTAAAATGTGGCTTAAATATTAGAATTTTGTTTTGTTTTGTTAATCCTTACCCAAGGATATTTTTCCATTGATTTTTAGATAGAGTGGAAGAGAGAGAGAGAGAGAGAGAGATGCATGTGAGAGAGACTCATCGATTGGTTGCCTCCCTCACAACCCCTACCAGGGCCAATGATTGAACCTGCAACCCAGGTATGTGCTCTTGACAGAATCGAACCTGTGACCCTTTGGTCCACAGGTGACGCTCTAGCCACTGAGTCAAACTGGTCAGGACAAGAATTAGGGTTTTAAAGAGCTCCCCAGGAGATTCTAATGTACAGAAATGTAGAACCAGCCACCATATTATGAATATTTGAACCTATTGAAAACTGCTGGTGGATTGTCTACATCTAAATTTTTGAGTGACAAGCATATATAAAAAGTGCTGGTACATATGGGAGGGTTTGTCCCCTGTCCCTAACAATTCCATCAACAGTACCTGAAGATTCAATCCTTGAGTGCTTCTTGTGTGCTAGACACTGAGCAGTGAGTGGTGCTTTCAAAAGAAGAAAAAATCCTGGCTTCATGGACTGGACACTAGTAGGAGAGTCAGACTCTAGGATGTTTGGGAACTGTCAGTGCTGAAAGGAAAGCCCAGCACAGGCAAGATAGAAAATGAATGCAAAGGGAGGTCAGTCTTAGTTACGATGATTAAAGAAGGTTTCTCTAAGGAAGGGGTTTTTGAGCTGAGACCAGGAAAAACTTGGGAAGTAAGTAAGGCAGAGATTTAGGGGAGGAGTAGAACAAGCCTGTCAATTTGACTTGAGCAGAGCATTTGACACTGGAAAGGGCCAGAAAATGTTGGCTCTTGGAAGCCATGGTAGAAAATTTGAAAGGGGTATATGTTCTTTAACGATCACTGTGGATACTGCATAGAAAATTTATAGGGTGCCTTGTGAAAATAGATCTTGGAGACTCAGAAGTCTGCACCAAAAATATTGATGGCTTAGACTAGGGTAGTGGAAGTGGTGAGGGGTCGGACTCTGCCTGTGTGTAAAGGTACAGCCTTTGGGAGGACTCTGGCCCTGGGATTGGAAACAAAAAGGACAAGGATGACTCAGGTTTTTGGCTTGGGCGGGGGTGGGGGGGTGGGGGGTGGATCAAGATTTCTGTTTTGCACTTAGGTTTGAGATGCCTGATAGTTTTTTTGTGGGATCTAGAATGGAGTTGGGCTGATGTTAGGGGTGGGAACAGAAGACAAACATTTCTGAGTTAGCTTATGAATGGAGTTTCAAGTCATGTGACTGAAATCCCTCTTTTAAGTAGAGTAGTGCTTCTCAGATTTTAATATGCATATGAGTCACCTGGCTTTTTAACAGTGCAGATTGAGTCAATAGGTCTGGCTCTGCTACATTTCTAACAAGCCCCTCTAATGCTGATGCTGCTGGTTCAGGGGCACACATTCTGAGTAGCAACCATGAAGATCCAGAAACTTTGGGTGTGGGGATTGGGGGGTGGGGCTTGTGGTACTATGGCATTTAAAATGGGGAGGAGCCAGCAAAGGAGTCGGATCTCTCAGGGTGGCAAACCAGGAAAATGTGTCACAGTAGAAACACAAGTGAAGAAAGTTTTAAATAGAGTGATCTCTCAAGTTCTGTTCAGTAAGAGGACTGTGAATTACCCGTGAGATTGGGGGATTGTCAAATTTAACAGGCTGCAAATTTAGGGGATGAAGGACTAGACTGGGAGCAGAAAGGGAATGAAGTAGAGTCAGCAATTATGGACAACTCAAGTTTTGATATATATAGGGGGTAAATGGGAAAGATAAGCCAAGGAAAGGTTCTAACTTGTAAGGAGATAATACAGCATTATTATATGCTGATTGGAATATTTTGCATTAGAATTGGGCAAATGAATGTAGTAGGGAGGAGTGGATTACTGTAGGAGTGAAATCTGAGTAGGCAGAGAAGTGAGAACTGAGACTCAGGTTAGTCTTAATAGGCACAGGGTCAGTTCCAGTTCATGTGTCAAAGGGGAAGGCGGTGTTTTGACTCATTTATTCAAATATTTATTACACAGCTATTATTTGTAAGACACTGTTTTAGGTATTGGGGATAAAGCAGTGACCTAAACAAGACAAAAGTCTGCAGCCTGGTGGCGCTTAGATTGTGGAGTGAATGGGTGTAAATGCAGATAGCTTGCTAAATTTGGTATTGGGAAAATGAGATCATTCTCTTCTAATAGCATCCACTTTCCCAGGGAAGGGCTGGGATGGGGATGGCCTGTTGGAAGTCTCTAGGAGGAGAGGGGTATGTGAACTCTCGCTTAAGAGTAGCAAAGTGAATGGACCAGAAATGCCGGTCAGAACTGTGCGTCAGCTGGAGTCTTTGGTCATAACTTCAAATGAACTGATAACTCATTCTGTTGTCTGGATGTGGGCATGAAAAAAAGAGGATAAAATCCTTAAAATTTCAAAATCCCTACAGCAAGCCAGAAAATCTGTAGCTCCACAGTCCTTTTTATATCCCCAGTAGGTGGCTTCCTCAGAGATCTGGCCTCTTCCCCCTCATTGAAATGGAGAAGATCCTGTCTTGAAGGAGCAGTTAGTGTAAATGAGCTGGACAGGTTTTCATTCCTTCTTGAATCATGTCCTTCCAGGCTGATGTCATTCAAACCTATTTTAAG